TGGATGGATGGATGATGGATGAGGATGGATGGAGGATGGATGGATGATGGATGGATGATGGATGAGGATGGATGGATGATGGATGAGGATGGATGGAGGATGGATGGATGATGGAGGATGGATGGATGGATGATGGAGGATGGATGGATGGATGATAGATGGATGGATGGATGATGGATGAGGATGGATGGATGATGGATGGATGATGGATGGATGGATGATAGATGGATGGATGGATGATGGATGAGGATGGATGGAGGATGGATGGATGATGGAGGAAGGATGGATGGATGATAGATGGATGGATGGATGATGGATGAGGATGGATGGAGGATGGATGGATGATGGATGGATGATGATGGATGGATGGATGGATGATGGATGAGGATGGATGGATGATGGATGAGGATGGATGGAGGATGGCATGGATGATGGATGGATTGATTGGAGGCATGGATGGTGGATGAGGAATGGATGGAATGATGGATGGGATTGGTTGGGGATGGATGAGGATGGATGGATGATTGATGGATGGATGGATGGATGGATGGATATGGGAGGATGGATGAGTGGATGGATGGATGGGATGGTTGAGGATGGTTGGATGATGGATGAGGATGGTTGGATGATAGGATCGATGGATGGATGGGTATGGATAGGATTGGATGGATGATGGAGGATGGCATGGTGGATGGATGGATGGATGGATGAGGTGGTGATGGATGTTGGATGAGGATGGACTGGAGGATGGATGGATGATGGAGGATGGGGATGGTGGTGGATGATTAGATGGATGGATGATGGAATGAGGATGATGGAGGATGGATGGATTATGATGGATGGATGGATGGATGATTGGATGGGATGGATGATGGGATGATGGATGAGGATGGATGGGAAGGATGGAATGGATGGAGGATGGATGGATGGATGGTGGAGTGGGCTATGGATGGTTGGATGAGGAATGGATGGATGATGGATAGGATGATATATGATGGCATGGTATGGATGGGTGTGGAGGATGGATGGATGGATGGATGGATGGATATGGATGGTTGGATGGATGGATGATGGATGGCTGATGGATGGATGGATGGATGGATGGAGGATGGAAGGATGGATGGATGGATGGATGGATGAATGGATGGCGACAGTGGCGTTGGATGTAGGAGTTTGCCCTGAAATCTAAGGGTTGACGGTTCAAGCCCCGACTCCCACTTTCAGTGTCGTTGTGTCCTTGGGCAAGACCCTTCACCTGCATTGTCTACTGATGGTGGTCAGAGGGTGGCGCCAGTGTACGGCAGCCTCGCTTCTGTCAGTGAGCCCCAGGGCAGCTGTGGCTACTATGTAGCTCACCACCATCAGTGTGTGCGTGAATGGGTGAATGAATGTAGTGTAAAGCGCTTTGGTCAAGTCTCCTGACTTGAATAAAGGCGCTATATAAGTACAGGACATTTGTCATGGATGGATGATAGATGGATGGGGGGGTCTGAGGACCGTGTTTGGGTCAGTCTGAGGGCCGTGTTTGGGTCAGTCTGAGGGCCGTTTTTGGGTCAGTCTGAGGGCCGTGTTTGGGTCAGTCTGGGTCAGTCTGAGGGCCGTGTTTGGGTCAGTCTGAGGGCTGTGTTTGGGTCAGTCTGAGGGCTGTGTTTGGGTCAGTCTGAGGGCCGTGTTTGGGTCAGTCTGAGGGCCGTGTTTGGGTCAGTCTGGGTCAGTCTGAGGGCCGTGTTTGGGTCAGTCTGAGGGCCGTGTTTGGGTCAGTCTGAGGGCCGTGTTTGGGTCAGTCTGAGGGCCGTGTTTGGGTCAGTCTGAGGGCCGTGTTTGGGTCAGTCTGGGGGCTGTGTTTGGGTCAGTCTGAGGGCCGTGTTTGGGTCAGTCTGGGTCAGTCTGAGGGCCGTGTTTGGGTCAGTCTGAGGGCCGTGTTTGGGTCAGTCTGGGGGCTGTGTTTGGGTCAGTCTGGGGGCTGTGTTTGGGTCAGTCTGGGTCAGTCTGGGGGCTGTGTTTGGGTCAGTCTGGGGGCTGTGTTTGGGTCAGTCTGAGGGCCGTGTTTGGGTCATTCTGAGGGCCGTGTTTGGGTCAGTCTGGGGGCTGTGTTTGGGTCAGTCTGAGGGCCGTGTTTGGGTCAGTCTGAGGGCCGTGTTTGGGTCAGTCTGAGGGCCATGTTTGGGTCAGTCTGGGTCAGTCTGAGGGCCGTGTTTGGGTCAGTCTGAGGGCCGTGTTTGGGTCAGTCTGGGGGCTGTGTTTGGGTCAGTCTGGGGGCTGTGTTTGGGTCAGTCTGAGGGCCGTGTTTGGGTCAGTCTGAGGGCCGTGTTTGGGTCAGTCTGAGGGCCGTGTTTGGGTCAGTCTGGGGGCTGTGTTTGGGTCAGTCTGGGGGCTGTGTTTGGGTCAGTCTGAGGGCTGTGTTTGGGTCAGTCTGAGGGCCGTGTTTGGGTCAGTCTGGGTCAGTCTGAGGGCCGTGTTTGGGTCAGTCTGAGGGCTGTTTGGGTCAGTCTGAGGGCTGTGTTTGGGTCAGTCTGAGGGCTGTGTTTGGGTCAGTCTGAGGGCCGTGTTTGGGTCAGTCTGAGGGCCGTGTTTGGGTCAGTCTGAGGGCCGTGTTTGGGTCAGTCTGGGGGCTGTGTTTGGGTCAGTCTGAGGGCCGTGTTTGGGTCAGTCTGAGGGCCGTGTTTGGGTCAGTCTGGGTCAGTCTGAGGGCCGTGTTTGGGTCAGTCTGAGGGCCGTGTTTGGGTCAGTCTGGGGGCTGTGTTTGGGTCAGTCTGGGGGCTGTGTTTGGGTCAGTCTGAGGGCCGTGTTTGGGTCAGTCTGAGGGCCGTGTTTGGGTCAGTCTGAGGGCCGTGTTTGGGTCAGTCTGGGGGCTGTTTTTGGGTCAGTCTGGGGGCTGTGTTTGGGTCAGTCTGGGGGCTGTGTTTGGGTCAGTCTGGGGGCTGTGTTTGGGTCAGTCTGAGGGCTGTGTTTGGGTCAGTCTGAGGGCCGTGTTTGGGTCAGTCTGGGTCAGTCTGAGGGCCGTGTTTGGGTCAGTCTGAGGGCCGTGTTTGGGTCAGTCTGAGGGCTGTGTTTGGGTCAGTCTGAGGGCCGTGTTTGGGTCAGTCTGAGGGCCGTGTTTGGGTCAGTCTGAGGGCTGTGTTTGGGTCAGTCTGAGGGCCGTGTTTGGGTCAGTCTGAGGGCCGTGTTTGGGTCAGTCTGAGGGCCGTGTTTGGGTCAGTCTGAGGGCCGTGTTTGGGTCAGTCTGAGGGCCGTGTTTGGGTCAGTCTGGGGGCCGTGTTTGGGTCAGTCTGAGGGCCGTGTTTGGGTCAGTCTGAGGGCCGTGTTTGGGTCAGTCTGGGTCAGTCTGAGGGCTTTGTTTGGGTCAGTCTGGGGGCTGTGTTTGGGTCAGTCTGAGGGCCGTGTTTGGGTCAGTCTGAGGGCCGTGTTTGGGTCAGTCTGGGGGCTGTGTTTGGGTCAGTCTGAGGGCCGTGTTTGGGTCAGTCTGAGGGCCGTGTTTGGGTCAGTCTGAGGGCCGTGTTTGGGTCAGTCTGGGTCAGTCTGAGGGCCGTGTTTGGGTCAGTCTGAGGGCCGTGTTTGGGTCAGTCTGAGGGCCGTGTTTGGGTCAGTCTGGGTCAGTCTGGGGGCTGTGTTTGGGTCAGTCTGGGGGCTGTGTTTGGGTCAGTCTGAGGGCCGTGTTTGGGTCAGTCTGAGGGCCGTGTTTGGGTCAGTCTGGGGGCTGTGTTTGGGTCAGTCTGAGGGCCGTGTTTGGGTCAGTCTGAGGGCCGTGTTTGGGTCAGTCTGGGTCAGTCTGAGGGCCGTGTTTGGGTCAGTCTGAGGGCCGTGTTTGGGTCAGTCTGGGGGCTGTGTTTGGGTCAGTCTGGGGGCTGTGTTTGGGTCAGTCTGAGGGCCGTGTTTGGGTCAGTCTGAGGGCCGTGTTTGGGTCAGTCTGGGGGCTGTGTTTGGGTCAGTCTGGGGGCTGTGTTTGGGTCAGTCTGAGGGCTGTGTTTGGGTCAGTCTGAGGGCCGTGTTTGGGTCAGTCTGGGTCAGTCTGAGGGCCGTGTTTGGGTCAGTCTGAGGGCCGTGTTTGGGTCAGTCTGAGGGCTGTGTTTGGGTCAGTCTGAGGGCCGTGTTTGGGTCAGTCTGAGGGCCGTGTTTGGGTCAGTCTGAGGGCTGTGTTTGGGTCAGTCTGAGGGCTGTGTTTGGGTCAGTCTGAGGGCCGTGTTTGGGTCAGTCTGAGGGCCGTTTGGGTCAGTCTGAGGGCCGTGTTTGGGTCAGTCTGGGGGCTGTGTTTGGGTCAGTCTGAGGGCCGTGTTTGGGTCAGTCTGAGGGCTGTGTTTGGGTCAGTCTGGGTCAGTCTGAGGGCCGTGTTTGGGTCAGTCTGGGTCAGTCTGAGGGCCGTGTTTGGGTCAGTCTGAGGGCCGTGTTTGGGTCAGTCTGGGGGCTGTGTTTGGGTCAGTCTGGGGGCTGTGTTTGGGTCAGTCTGAGGGCCGTGTTTGGGTCAGTCTGGGGGCCGTGTTTGGGTCAGTCTGGGGGCTGTGTTTGGGTCAGTCTGGGGGCTGTGTTTGGGTCAGTCTGAGGGCTGTGTTTGGGTCAGTCTGAGGGCCGTGTTTGGGTCAGTCTGGGGGCTGTGTTTGGGTCAGTCTGAGGGCCGTGTTTGGGTCAGTCTGAGGGCCGTGTTTGGGTCAGTCTGAGGGCTGTGTTTGGGTCAGTCTGAGGGCCGTGTTTGGGTCAGTCTGAGGGCCGTGTTTGGGTCAGTCTGAGGGCTGTGTTTGGGTCAGTCTGAGGGCTGTGTTTGGGTCAGTCTGAGGGCCGTGCTTGGGTCAGTCTGGGGGCTGTGTTTGGGTCAGTCTGGGGGCTGTGTTTGGGTCAGTCTGAGGGCTGTGTTTGGGTCAGTCTGAGGGCCGTGTTTGGGTCAGTCTGGGGGCCGTAAAGCTGCGATGTAGGTCAGTTCTGCTAGCAGGTGGGGTCCAGGTTCTGCTGGTTTGGGTTTTTCTCTTTTGTTCTGGAAAGAACCGATCTGTTGGTCTGTGTGCCTTCAGGACCGGGAGCAGCTCAAAGCGGGTCAGCGCAGGATTGTTTGGACCCAGGAGGCTCTGGAAGACCTCAGAACCTCCCAGACCTTCCAGAACTCAGTGCTGGTTCTGGGCGGCGCTGCAGTCGGAGCGGTTTGGAGCGTTTGGACCTCTGAGTCGATCATGATCCGGTTCTACAGATGATGTTTCTGGATCAGAAGCGCATCTTGGAGACGAGGAAACATCAGAGAACCTCAGAATGTTCGGGTCGTGGTTCTGTTGGTGCTCTGCTGTGGGACAGTCACCTTTGGTTCTGGAGGACTTTGGTGGACAGAGATCATGGTCCACTCAGGGACTGTAGGAATCACATCACCGTTCCTCCCCTACCCTGCCTGACAGCTGCTAGAAGGAGCTTGTTCTGATCTGCCATCGTGATTTTCTCCAATCCCGGTTCCGTGCTCCTTAGTTCTATCCATCTTGGTTCCGTCCATCGAGGTTCCGTCCATCGAGGTTCCGTCCATCGAGGTTCCGTTCATCGGGGTTCCGTCCATCTTGGTTCCTTCCATTGTGGTTCCGTCCATCTTGGTTCCTTCCATTGTGGTTCCGTTCATCTCGGTTCCGTCCATCTCGGTTCCGTCCATCATGGTTCCGTCCATCTTGGTTCCTTCCATTGTGGTTCCGTTCATCTCGGTTCCGTCCATCTCGGTTCCGTCCATCATGGTTCCGTCCATCTTGGTTCCTTCCATTGTGGTTCCGTTCATCTCGGTTCCGTCCATCTTGGTTCCGTCCATCTTGGTTCTGTCCATCTTGGTTCTGTCCATCTTGGTTCCTTCCATTGTGGTTCCGTCCATCTTGGTTCCGTCCATCTTGGTTCTGTCCATCTTGGTTCCTTCCATTGTGGTTCCGTCCCTCACTGCTGGGCCCCTGCCTTCCTGTCCCTCTGCAGGCTGCAGCAGCCTTGTCCTGGTTTGTCCTGTCTCCTGACCCGGTTCTGTCCCGCCGCTGCCTCTCAGCGTGTCTCATGTCCCCTCAGGGGGATCGCTAACAGATGCATTCCCGTCTCAGGGTCTAAAATAAGCGCTGGGCTCTGTGGGGTCACTGCAGCAGCGGCAGCCATCTTGGCTCCGCACACAGAAGCTGTTGGTTTGTTCCGGGCCGTCACCAGGCAGCCAGGAGTCCTTTCAGTATCTATGATGCTGCGGGCTGTGACCTCAGCGACGCATCATCTTTTCTATGATTCATTGAACAGCTGACAGGAAGAGGAAGAGACACACTGCGTTTAGGGCTGATTATCTGACCCCCCCCCCCGCATGAAACGCACATTTCAGGAAACATTACAAAACAGTCATCTTCACCTCGATGACTGTTATCTAGAAAATAACAGTTAGATTTTCATTTTGTCTCGTGTTCATTGGGATTAAACTGACTTTAGCTCCAGAAACTGATCAGAAAGAGAGAATGCTGAGTCACTAGAACCCGGTTCTGTTCGGTCCATTAGGGCCAAAACACAGAACTTTGCAGACCGACCGTCTCTGACTTCCTCCTCAAGGAGCAAAGCTCACCTGAAGAAGCCAGCTGCTCTGGGCTGCTGTGGAAAGTTGAGTGGAAGGAAGAACTTTGTCAGAAAAATGGTTGGCAGGGGTGGATTTAGGAAATGTGGGGCCCTAGGCAAAGAAAGGAAGGGGCCCCTCTGAATGGAGAACCCAACATAGAGAAATATTAATAGAATAGACATCCATTATCTGTTCTAGGTTGTGTCCCTCTCTTCTTGTTTTCCTCTCTATGTTTTGTACTCAGCTGACTTTTCATGCTGTCTCTAAAGGAATGAAAGATTTTTTCCAAGCACTAAGCTCACTTAGCTGATTGCTCCTTCCTGTGTTTCCAAAAAGGCCAAAGTAAATAACCCAGTCCTTCTTTTCACTGTAGACAAGCCATGATCTGCTTATCTGTTCTCCATTTTTCATTTGGATGAAATAATAGCTGCATGAATCATGACAGCAGACAAGATAGAGGAGAGCAGGAGGCGGGGTTACCAATCTACTCGCTCTGGAGAGCAGAGTTCGCTGCTTTTAGATGTTGTCTCCAAAGTCTCCAGTAGCAGAAAAAAGTCTCTAGATTTGGCGCTAGGAGCTTTTTAGAAATCAAAGTGCTAGAGGGGTCTGAAAAGTGGCTAAATATAGCGACTAAAGCGCTAAGTTGGCAACACTGCTCTTTGCATGGTTTGTTTTCAAATGGTTTGCTGCTGTCTGTTTGGACCTTTCTGAACATGTGCAGCAAATGGACTGATCCAATATGGTGGACACTGAAGGGGGGGGGGCTGAGACACACTTAATATTATCAGCGTTCTGATGGCATTTTAAACAAAGGATTTTTAATCAAAAACATCATTAATGCGCAGAAATAAGGAATAGTTGCATTAACCATACATGGAAACAGAGTTTTATGGGGCCCCCAGGAACTTGGGGCCCTAAGCAGCTGCCTGGTATTGCCTAATGGTAACCCCCCCCTCCAAAGCTGCTCCAAATAGTCTCTCTGGACCAGATATGAGTTGGATTTCTCCACTCATCCTGGAGGCTCCTCTGTCTGCTACAGGAAGGAAGTGATGTAATGATGAGGTCATAAAAGACAGGAAGTGAAACTGATGATCAACGCCTCAAGCTCTAAAATAATCCTCAGCATATTGTCTTGATTTCCTGTTTTCCCTTTGACCTCAGTGTCAGTCTGACTGTTACCATGGTGACAGCCCACAGAACCTCAGGGCGTTGCCATGGAGATGAGGCTGCGGTTCTAGAGCAGATCAGGTGGTTCTGTTGGATTCCTTCAGTCTGAACCTTCAGCAGCTGCGATGAGCTGTCTGGACCCAGAACCTGCTGGACCAAGACTTTAGCTCCCTACTGTCTGGAGGAGCAGTGGAGGAGCAGTGGAGGAGCAGTGGAGGAGCAGTGGAGGAGCAGTGGAGGAGCAGTGGAGGAGCAGTGGAGGAGCAGTGGAGGAGCAGACTCCGACCAGAGGCTTGTTTTGCTCCCAGGAATGTGTTTCCTCCTAGAACCCCCCCACCCCCGGTGTCCCGCAGCGTTTCCGGACTTCCTGTTCTCCCGGCAGCAGGAGGAGCTTCAGACGTGAGCTGAGGAGGAGTTCCTCTGCTCTCGCTGTATCCTCCTGCTGCTCCCAGCACCTCCTAATCTCCAGGCTTTGTGAGGCGTTTGCTGCACAGGAACATACCAGAGATTCCTGCGCTCTGTCTGACCCAGATCCAACATGTCCTCCTCGTCACAAGCCTCCCAGCATGAAGGCACATGTTTCCATCACAGAGCCGCTCCTCTGGAGCTCACAGCAACAGCCTGAGCCGCTCCTCTGGAGCTCACAGCAACAGCCCGAGCCGCTCCTCTGGAGCTCACAGCAACAGCCCGAGCCGCTCCTCTGGAGCTCACAGCAACAGCCTGAGCCGCTCCTCTGGAGCTCACAGCAACAGCCTGAGCCGCTCCTCTGGAGCTCACAGCAACAGCCTGAGCCGCTCCTCTGGAGCTCACAGCAACAGCGTGTCCCGAGCCCGTGACATCATCAATGACCCCTCACCCCCCCACCATGGACTGTTCTCCCTGCTGCCCTCTGGGAAGAGGCTTCACAGCATTCAATGCAGGACCAGCAGGTTCTGCAGCAGCTTCTTCCCCGCTGCCATCACACTGATGAACTGATGATAAAATGGTTTATTTTATTTATATATATAAAAAGTTAACGTTAGAACTGTAAATATACAGTTATATGTTTATATTATTATTTTTTATGTATTTATTACTGTTTTCATGGCTGCACTTTAAGAAATGAAATTGTCTAGAGCTGTTTTAAACTAAATGTATTTCTGTTTATACTCATGTAAACAAAATGACTAAATAAATCAAAGTCTAACTAATTAACTAGCAGCTGTAACATTTATTATACGCAGCCGCTTTGCTTCTTGCGTTTATTTATGGGCGAAATCCACCCAGGATGCAGAAATGACAAAAATGGCGCCCTCTCTCTCTCTCACGGTCTGGGCCTTGATCATGAGCTCCGACTGCAGCGTGCAAAACGCGATTCACATGTGACTCGATTAAAAACAATGACCTGCAGGTCATTAATAAATATATAGATACTGAGAGAAATCTAAAACTTTGTTTTGGGTCCTTTGTTCGTGAATTTAGTTTAGTTTAAATAAACTTGGTGTTTCAGAATCCCCAAAGAATGATTCAACAATCAGATCAATAACTTTATCCAGTCGTTTCTTTTTTCAGTGCGGGACAGAAGGTCTTATTTTCCTCTGCAGCAGTTTGTAAACAGTCTGCAGGTCGGCGTGGTGAGGTCGCGCCCTGAGGCGCCTCGCAGCCTTTTATGGGCCACATTCTCTGCTAATAATAAACCCGCAGCGAGCGGCAGGCGGCGGCAGCCTGGATCAGGCCTGCTGTGTTGGATGGAGGCTGTCATGATTGGCTGCAGGTCATGTGACGCTGCAGGCTCCTCTGAGGAGGAACCAGGGAGCATCAAACCTCCTCAGCCTGGTTCCACGTTCTGCTGTGAGAACAGGAAGTCTGGGAGGAACCAGGATCTCAGTCTCTTCCTGGAACCATCAGAGGAACCGTAGAACAGAAACATGTTTCTGAGCAGAACCTCATGACGGGTCATGACGGGATCTGGTGGTTCTGAATGAGATGGCAGAACCAGGACCTCCTGGGCTCAGCAGCCTGACCCGACCCGCCTTTCGGTCCTGGACCTCTGCTCCTCCCTGTGGGTCCAGGATGAGGTTCTGCTGCTGAGGTCCAGCTGGAGACCAGCCAGTCGCTTTGGTTCAGACCCAGACGGACCTGCTGGTTCTTGGCTGGCCCAGTCCGGTTCTGATGGGTTCTGCTCTGGGAGACCCTGCTCTATTGTTCATATTGATCCTTCCAGCCCAGCAGCCGTCTGGGTTCTGGTCTGGTTCGGACCTCCTGCTGCTGTTAACGGACCTTTAATTGACTCAGGTTCACAGCGGAGGCGTGAAGAAGCAGATTTAAGTGAGTCTGACGGCACGACAAACCGGCGTGTGTCAGACAGAACGTAGAGCGACGGAGCGGAACCATGGCGCCGCCTCTCAGTCAGAAGAATCATGTCTGGATCCTGATTTCTCTATGATCTGCTTCCAGAACCCAGAGAAGCAGCAGGAACCTTTACAGCAGGGGTGTCAAACTGGT